ACGCACCCTAGTTTTAGGGATGGCTACCTTTTTATTATAACACGCATCCTATTTTTAGGGATGGCAATGTGTACGGGTTTGTCAGTTCTTAGAACTGAAACCAACCCGTTTGGGGTAGATCTGGGTAAGTTAAATGATTCTGGATCGGGTTACGCGTCTTATATATAAAATAATTTATGATTTTATTTATTAAATTAACAATTTTCATCGTGTCTATTCTTATTTACCCATTTTTCACCATTTCATTTTTTTGAATCTCATTTCTCATAAGTAAAATTTATCACTTGTCGACCACCGCTAGCCGTCTTGCCTTTTGAACTTTACTTATCCTAGAAATTAAATATAATTAATTATATAATTTTATTATTCACTTTATATCACTTGTAGACGTATTTTAAAATATTGTATTTTAATTTTTAGATTATTTTGTTAAACTATAGAAGCAAAATATTATGAAAGTTAAAAAATAATAAACTTTTTTTTTTATATTAACGGATCTGAGGGGTCAGAACCGTTTAATTCGGGTATGGGTTGGGATGGGTCTGGGTCTAAGTTGAACCTGGTTGGGGCGGGTCTGAGTTTTATATATATTTTACCGATCGAGTCACGGGTTTAGACAAACCCAGCCCAAAACCGACCCAATGCAGTAAAAGTCGCTTAGATTTCCCTCTGATGACAAGGAGTCGACTAGATCTATTTCTGATGACGAAGAATGCACAATTTTACGAACCAACTATATGTATATGTATCATATATACTCAATTATATACTCTATGCAGTATATATTGATTTTTTTACTATGTGTATTATATGTAATTGTATATAGGAAACTACGAAGAGATATTTTCTTTGTTTTTTTTTTAAGAAATTCGGTTCTGGTGTCAAAACCTGATAATGTTGAAGAAGATGGGCAAACAGCATACCAATTGAAGAGAATCAACTCTTAGTCACATGGATTAATGTATGTGTGTAATTGTATTTGATCTTATCGTACGATTTTCAATATTTTTTGAAGTGTTGGATATAATTGACATTAGTATACTATGATGTTTTCTGTTATTGACATTAGTATCCAGACATATTATGACACAATCGAGTCAAATATAGTCATATTCGGCAGTATTAACATACATTATTTTTTCTCATAACATTCTAAATGTGTCATGGATACAGCATTCTTAGATGTTGAATCTCACTTTTAGATCCATTCACTATATTTCCTTTAAATTTACTTGAACACGAAAGAATCTTTCAAGCAACGCATAAACACGAAATTAGGCCGCTACGAATTTTACGGCAATTATAATTTATATATAAACATATAGAGCTCAAGCACAAATGGGACAAATCACCAAACCATTCTCGTTACAATCACTACACTTTACAACAACACTCTTGTTCTTCTTCTTCTTCTTATTCACTTGCTCGTTTATTATTACCGTCATCTTACAACTCCCGTAACACGTAAAACACGGCAAGAACCCAACGCCACCGCACCCCTCACAAACATTATTATAACCCCCTTTAATCATCGGCAAACCCTCGAGCAATTTACCAATATACCCCTCCTCCACTATCTTCATCACCTCCTCAAATCCACCTATGTACCTGCCTTTCACAAACAGCCTTGGGGGCGTCGTTTCAACGACATTCGATGATTCGGCCCCCTTTCGATTCTTATTCTTTGTCGTCTTCTTCATCAACTCGGTTAACTCATCCCGAAACCCTCGATCCATCGAAATATCCCTCTCGCTAACCGAAATGCCGAGCCCCTGGATCGCGGATCTTACGGAGTTGCATTCCTCGAAAGTCTTTCTCACTCCCCTCAAGCTTGTACTGTAGAGTACGACTTTGTTCTCGCCCCCGTTGGGCGGGCAGATCGTTTCGAAACCGTCGAGAAAACTTTTTAACGAGGCGTAATTGTCACTGATTACGAGGTTCGGAGTTTCCGAGGGTTTCGGCGTGGAGAAACGGAAGCTGGGGGCATTGTCGGAGTCGACGAGCCCCGCCATGAGGTCCCATGAGTTGATCGTCTCGGGATCGGGATCGGGTTCGGAGAGTGGGGTGGAGAGGAGCGAGCCGAGTTTCAGCCGCGGCGGAGGTGCGGCGGGCGGGGGCGGCGGTGGATCGAGGGTCAAGAAACCGTAGGTGGTGGAGGTGAGGGGTGGAGGTGAGGGACACAATGTGGTGGCTGAAACCGCCGATTTGGGAGAATTCTTCGTCTCGGTTGAGAAGGGCGGATGAAACACAGCCCATTAGTGTGCGTGTGTGCGTGTGTGTGTGTGAGAGAGAGAGAGAGAGAGAGAGAGAGAGAGAGAGAGAGAATGGGTGTTAATAGATATGAAGTTGGATTGGGAGTAATTTAATGGGGGATTCAATTTTTGAAAATTCAAAATGTAGAGGAAGTATGTACAAATGGGCGGTTTTAGCGCTCGAATGTGTTGATAGTGCTTTATTTTGAAATTCATAGATACTGACGCTACTTACTGTAGTGTAGATGAACATTGGAGGAGGAGCCTATAATGGTTTCTGTTTTCTATTGTAGGTGCGGAAATTTACGGTAGAATTACATTTTTCGTCCCTAATCTTTTACCTGATTCTGCTTTTGGTCGTATTGATCCAAAGTGAATAAAATGTACATTGGAAAACACTATTTTGGGGCTAAAATTGAAATTTAAAATAATTTGGGGGCTAGAAAAGAATATAATTTTAACTTTGTTTTTTTTTTTTTACATATTTTGTAGAGAAGTCTATAGTTTATTTGAGCATATTCATTTCTATCTATTTTATTTATTAATTTATATTTTTCAATACATTTTAGTTTATTTAGTTGGAGTTGAAGCTTAGTAATTTTTTTTTAATTTTTCAAAAAACAAAAAGTTCATCTATGACTTATATATATATAAAAAATTTAAATAAATAAATAAATCAAAATAGTTAATAATAATACAATTTTTAACCAACAAATGCAAATAATATATATTATAATAATAATAATTAAAAACAAAAAAGAAATTAGTAAGTTGCACAGATCATCTTCTTCCCGTAGTAGCGCCAACCCCGACTAGGCGTGTGAACGAGACGAGATGACCTGTTATAAATAATATTTCTAAATATTATTTATAAATACTCAACACATACATAAAATAATATTTAAACATAGTTATATCTCCATCATGTACATATCCTAATAACATAATAAAAGTTTAATAATAATATAAGATCATAATGCATAAATATCCTTATAAAATATAAATAAAAAGGCAATTTTTTTGAATTTACATTTATTCTTGAACATTTCTGGCATACATCATTAGTTCTTTAACAATAACAGTTAACATAAACAAAATAAATCATAAACTCATTTTTTTTTATTAAAATCCCAACTTTTATTTTGAATTAAAAAAAAACGATTTTTGACCGATTTTTTGCTGATTTTTGCCACCGAGTTTGACCCGTCTTACAGGTTTGACCGCCTCAGACAGCCACAGACCGCCTAAACCCGCCTCACATGCAAAAAATTGATTTCGTAAAGGTTTGGGACCGCCTCCGCCTTGAAGACCGATTAATCGGCCGCCTCGCCCGATATTTAAAACACTGGTTTTGACATACTCGATCTCGAGCCCAAGCTCATGTTGGGTGTTTTTTTTATGAATTTTTTTTTATTAAATGTGTTTAGCTTACAAAAAAAAATGAACTATAACCTGTAATTACATACATTTTTTAATATTTATATGTTATTTTTATATTATTTCTATATATTTATATTATTATACATTATTTAAATAAAACATATATATAAAAAATAAAAATAAAAAATAAGGTTCGTGAGCTCACGAACAACTAAAAGAAAGCTCGAGCTCGAAAAACTCGAGTTCAAGTTTTTTTTCTTTTAAGTTTTCCAAAAAATTGAAAATCTTTATCATCAAATAATATAATTCATCATTTCACACATATTCTAAATTATATCACCCATTTTCCTCGTGTTAAAAAAAGTAGAATATTTGAAAACAAAACCAAAGTACTTTCAATAATCTATTCAAAAGAAAAAGTACTTTCAATAAAATAAACAAAGAATCAAGAGGGAAACTTTGTTATTCATCTTATAGTCTAAAGGAAATTTTGCCATTCATAATTTGAAAGCAAGGTATGTGACTCCGGCCATTTTAAATTTTATGAATTATGATCAAGCTGATATTCTAAGGCGCAACTAAAATTCTATGCCTATGTTTGGTAAGCTTTTAGACTTCCATTTTCATTTTATTCTGGAGTAAGATGTTTTGGGGGAATAATTTGAAAATAAAATAAAGTTTGTTTGTGTTTTGAGAGGAGACAATTTGTACTGTAGCAAGTCAAATCATGTCTAGAAGGTGTTGGAAAAATGTATTTTGGAAGAGAATTTGAAGGATAAAGTGATTTTAGTGAAGACAGTTTTCACTGTAGCAGTCAAATCATGTTTGTTGGTGAGAGAAAAATTTGAATTTTTTTTGGGGAAAGTTTTTGAAAATATTTTAGAAAGATAATTTTATTTTGGGGAAAGAACGAAAATAATTTGAAAACGTAAACAAACATAGCCTATGTTGTTCTGTGTACATAAACAATAAATATAATGTCTCGATTTGTAGTTCAATTAAAGTTAAATAAAAAAAAAAAAGAAAAAAGATGATGATGATGATATTTTTTTCTTCTTTCTTCTTCTGAATCAACCAGCTACATATTTTCACAACACCTGATTTATTTGTTCTTTAGATGCTGATAGTGTAAAACGATGAATCAAATTATTAGATGATGAACTATTTTTAAATTTCTGAAAAAAAATAAAATTAGAAAAATTTACCCATTTCAAAATCCCACAAACAAACACATAACATGTCAGTTGTTTCGCTAAAAGGTTAATGAGTGCGCAAAGTGCCAAATAAAGTGTTATTGTAGGGTGCATTCTGCTAAATTTTCAATTTAAGAATGCAAAGTGGCACACGAATTTAATTTGAAGGAGCAAAGTGCCAATAACCCGGTTGCAGTGAGTAATTAAAGGGTATATTTGGGAATATGTAAAATGATAAGAATGGAGGTGAGAAATTTGATGAGTGGAAATAGCCAAGCGCTCATTTCTCCCTCACTCCACTGTTTCTCTCTCTATATTCACCGCTCACACCACTGTCAATCCTTCCGTCTTACCAATGCGGCGGCGCTACTCCGGCAGTCCTCCATCCTCCATCACTCGATTATCTGAATCCAAATCGTAATTTGGAATTAGGTAAATTTTATCTATTCGATTTTTTCACTTGTGAGCTTAATATCACGCTCTTCTGCCATGACCAGAAAATTGGAAACAATTGTATTTCTTAAAAAAACGAAAAAACCCCCACAATTTGCTATGGTTATGTAACTATCTACCCAAATTATAGTTCTCAACAATTATGTATTGACTTCTCGAATGGGATTAGTGCTGGTTGTGTTTGATGAAATGAATTAGTTTTTAGTTTTTGTTTTTGCTAATCACATAATTTGGAAAACAGGGTGAATGAGGTATTCGGGTTTTAACGACAAGGTTTGCACTTTGGAATCGATGAATCATTTTTTTTCAGTAAATTATCGGTTACCAAACCGGTAAAACACAGAATTTTTCCGGGTAAAAACAGAATCTGAATTGGTTAGCTTGGTTTGGGGTTCTATGGATAGGTTTTGCCGAAGGCACGATCCAAATTGTAGTAAATTATGAAATATGTAAACCAAATAAATGATTTGATCAATAGTTTTCAGTCGGAGTACATTTACTCAGGCAGTGATTCAGGCAGGTTATTGTGAAAGAAAACATTGCAAATTCACGAAAAAAAAAATCCATGGGGAAGGAGGAAATATTTGTGATTTAACTTCAGGAAATTTCTTATTTGAATCCTTCTTCGTGCTTTATAAATTTGATCTAGTGCTATTGATGGGAGTAACAAGTCAATTGTGAAGTTTCTAGGTGAAGTTTCTAGCTGAATTTGAACATGTGAATAAAGATTAATTTGATGCATTAGGCATGGATTGTTCGCCACTTAGCATCATGAAATTTTTTTTTTCTATTCATCTGATTTTTATTTATTTATTTATTTATTTATTTATCTCCTTAGCTTAATGGAGTTGCAAAACGATTATTTTAAGATACTAATTTTTTATCTTTAAATTTCTTTGTAATTTTTTTCTTTCATTTACATCAAACGGTCATCCATCTGAAGCTTTCCTTGGACATTTCCGAATGTAGACAGAGAAAAATGAAGTTGCTTTTAAAGGCTCCTCATCAAATAATTTGCGTGCCAGAACATAATCATACACATGTTTTGATGATAGATTTTGTGTTTTGTCTTCTATTCTTATGTTCGGGGGATCAAATAGAGATGCTTTTTAGAATTCTAAACAGAACTTGCTTACGAGCTTTTTGTGCGAAAATCTATTAGGAAAATAATATAAATTTGTGTATCGATTTTGTAAATTTACTTCTTACTGCAGTATTGAAGAATGGCAAAGCAGTTTCAGTCTTTCTTCCTCGAAGAATGGTTAAAGAGCGTTTCAATCATCAAAAGCAACAAGAATAGTTCGGCGCCGTCTTCTTCTTCTTCATCGGCTCAAGCAATCATCCAAGCATGGGCTAACCTTAGAGATTCAATTCAACATCAGTCCTTCGATGCTCGTCACTTTCAAGCCTTGAAGATCCTCGTTAGTTCTCAAGCTGCTCTTCACGTTGCAGATCCACAGGCAAAGCTTTTAGTTTCGATTTTATCTTCGCAAACTCTCTCTCTCCCGCACGAATCTTATCCCCTTTTCTTTAGGCTCCTCTACATTTGGGTGAGGAAATCAAGGCAAACCTCTTCGGTTCTTGATTCTGCTATCGATGCTCTGTTGCACGTTTTCTCTAACCGATCTCATATCGAAAAAAACTCAATTTTCTTTTCTGAAGGGATTCTCCTCCTCGGCGCCTTTTCGTTCCAAAATTCCGCATCTGATAAATCCAAGATCCTCTGTTTGGAGTTGCTCTGGAATTTACTCGAAGAAGAACACAGAATTCTTTTCTTTTCCGATGAGCTAGCTTCCCTTACTCTCGCAGGGGCTGGTTATGCTCTCTCCTCCTCTGTGAACGTACGTTTCAAAAAAATTCTAGATATTTTATTGAATATTTGGGGTCGAGAAGGTGGGCCGGCAGGCATTTCTCAAGGACTTATGCTACTGCATCTTGTTGAGTGGGTTGTATCTAATTCCTTGAACTTACGTTCCTTGGAAAAAATCGATTTTACGAGAGAGATTTTGGAAAACGTCGAAAAGACTCATTCTTCATTTGCTGTGGTCATGTTTTCAGCTGGAGTCTTAAGGTCAGTTAATAGGTCCGGATCAAGTGGTTTTATGCACGTTAAGAAATCGGCGGAAGATCGAATTGAGACTGTTGCAAGTGACTTGGTACTTTCTAGAACTAATAGTTTCGACTTCAATATACATCAAGTGCTTCTTCTGCGATTTATAGCACTAGCTTTGGCTCGGAGTGGTTCAGTCTCGTACAAACCTTCTCTTCTCGTATCACTTGCTTTGGCATTAGTGACTGAAGTCTTCCCTTTGCAGCGTATCTATAATAAAATTCTTAAATTTCCCGAAGAAAATTGGGCAACAGTACTTGACGAAATTAAAGATCATCAAAGTAGCTTCATATTTAAGGACGCAGGCGCGATAACTGGTGTCTTCTGCAATCAATATGCATCGGCCGACGAAAATAGTCGGAGTACAGTGGAGAATATCATGTGGGATTACTGTCGAGATGTTTACTTGTGGCATCGGCAGGCAAGGTTGATGCTTGCGGGCAGGGGCGATATGGTAATTAGCGAGATAGAGAAAATTGCCGAGTCGGCTTTCCTTATGGTTGTGGTTTTCGCATTGGGAGTTACGAAGCAGAGGCTACTAAACCAAGAAACTCAATTACAAACATCGGTTAGGATATTGATTTCGTTCTCTTGCATGGAATATTTCCGAAGGATGCGTTTGGCGGAGTACATGGATACGATTAGAGCTGTTATTGTGAGCGTTCAGGAGAGCGAATCAGCTTGCGTCGCGTTCGTGGAATCTATACCTTCCTACAATGATTTGATTAATAATGACGGTACGGTAAAACCTTCAACTATGCGGTAATCTTTTTTATCTTCCCATCTAAATCTAAATACGTGTTTTGCAGGTTCTTCTATCTTGACAAAATCGGAGCATCTTTGGTCAGTTGACGAAGTGCAGACTGCTCGTATAATATTTTACATGCGCGTAATTCCAACTTGTGTTGATCGATTACCCGCTTCTGTGTTTAAGAAGGTCGTGGCCCCCACTATGTTCCTGTATCCTACGTCATTCATTTCATTAAATATCGAATATTTGAAAAATCAACACGAATGGATTTTTTTTTTAAGTTATTATAGTTGGTTTACCTTACATTCATTTTATTAGATACACGGGACACCCGAAAGGAAAAGTCGCGAGATATGCACATTCCGTATTTGTAGCTTTCATATCATCCGGAAAAGATCCTTGTCCGGAAGAAAGAACTGAACTGAAAGAGCAGCTCGTGTTCTATTACATACAGAGGTCGTTAGAGGTAGTGATTCTCGTAAAACCATATAAGCTTGTCTGAATTGATTGATTGTTTCAAGATTGTCCTTTGGTTAAATTTTTAAATATTTATTACAGGGATATCCCGAGATTACACCGTTTGAAGGGATGGCTTCTGGCGTTATTGCTCTCGTTAGACATCTCCCTGCAGGTAGTCCATCTATATTTTATTGCATTCAAAGTCTAGTCGAGAAAGCCAGTAGCATGTGCAGTACAGTCAGCATCGACGACAGTGATTTGTGGAAGAATTGGGAAGGAGAGTTGGAATCTTCTAAGAAGATTCTAGATCTTCTTTTACGGTTACTCGCCCTAGTTGATATACAGGTGCGACTACTTTCTTATTTCATATATTAGATATAATATTGGCGTTCGGTTTCGGTAAAAACGAGGGTGTGGTTGTTGCAGGTACTACCGAGTTTGATGAAGTCATTAGCGCAGCTAATGGTGCAACTACCACAAAACGGGCAGAACATGCTTCTAAATCAACTGTATCAACAAATTGCGGAATCTGATGACGTTATACGTAAACCGGCTCTGGTTTCATGGGTGCAGTCTTTGTCTTACCTTTGTACTCAAGGTACCCGCGGTAAAAAATTACCCCAATTGGCCGGAGACACCTCGTTTGCGAGTTCGACGAGTATCGATAGTATTAATGCACGGCTCTAAACTCGGAGGGCAAAAAAGATGCCGGTTGTGCTACTTGATGGGTGTGCAGATTCCGCTGGAGTTTCACATAGGTAATTTCTATACATAGGGGTTTTTTAGTCATTTCGATCAGCTAGTTTTTGTCAACCTAAAGTTTTTGTCAATCTAAAGTTAAATGTAATAAAATGTCCCACGTTGTACCATCCACAGTATTCGCGCTGTTGTTTAAGTTATTCGCACACATGTATTAAGATAACTAATAAATATGTATTGATTTTAGGAAATAGTCTGTAATAAGACTAAATTGCCCTCCAACTTATACTATCTTTAATAGTTACTCTCTTAATGAAAGGCAAATATGGAAAATAGTAAAGCAAGTAACTAATGCAACATTTGTATTTTAAAGGTGTATGGCAGGTTTCTTCCAGTTACCGACACGAAACGTTTCCGAAACACGGAAACGTTAACAAGATGAAGTTTCTGTGCTACATAGGTAACCATTGAAACAAATTCTCTTGCTTATTCGGGATATATATATATATATATATATATATATATATATGTATATATATATATATATGTATATATATATATATATGTATATATATATATATATATATATATGTATATATATATATATATATATATATATATATATATATATATATATATAGATATA